GTGCAGCCTTTTGCGTGTATCGCATCATTCCAGTCACGTGCCAGAGTCTGACCTCACACGGTGATGCATACACGTCGCTATCGATGTCATTCTAGCTGGTGAACATGCGAGCAAGCGAAGTGTCGAGCAAAACGTGACCGAATCCGATACCGAAACCCTCGCTCCTACTCTACCCGTGATCACAAGTTTTCAGCAATCCAGACGCTTATATTGAAACGATCAAACCTTGGAAAAAGTTATTTCGACATGTATCTTCGAATACATGAGGAAACGGCGATAAAGATTGCAAAATCTTTGTTGATTGTCCGTGTATTATCGATACGCGCGAATCACCTCACTATGGGATCATCCATTCACAATAAAGAACATACGTGTAACGCGAGAATTAACGCACTCATCTCCGACGACCGATTGACTTGTTGAATTACGCGCTTAAGCCACGATCGATCCGGATCTAAAAAGTTCTAATTTTAACCGATGAGTAATCCCGCGAGGGAACAGACAGGTGGTTAATTCGTCACTGGTGCAACGACTGTGACGGATCGTCCAGACCCAGATAAACATTATCTATCCGACGCGTTTCCTTGTTACGAAAGTATTCGCCGCGGTTTCGTTCCGTGATCATCGAGCAGCAGCGCGTCGCCCGAAAATATATTTCGAATCGCCTAATATAGAACAGCGTGTGTATCGTGTCGTGACTCGTGACGTGGCTAGATAAAACCTATTGCGCAGAGATTATTATATACACAGTGAACGAATAAAGCGTTCTTTATCTACCTCTTGATCACCGCAATGATTTATCGGTCACATCGGATGGGTATTTCTCGCTTCAAAGTAAATATTTTAATTCTCTATCCGAATATCCTCAATTCTCCGTTTTCTTATCGAATTTTCTTTTTTTTTTTTTTTCCCGTCTCTCCTCCCAATATCGACCGAACGATGCACACATTTATATGTATATTTTAGATGCAACTGGTCATCAGCTTGGTTTCTTTTCTTTTTTTGTGACGGTTTGGGCATGTCCTTATCTCTTATCTCCATTTTCCTCGTTATGTTTGCTATCGTGGAAAAAAAAAATATCGTCGACATTGAGAAAAGAACGATAAAAAGGAACGGCCGATAACCTAGACCAAGGGAATAGAGAACACGTCGATATTCTACTATCGCCTCGCAACGGCGTAGAAACTAGCAGTTGTCGAGGGAAGCGTTCCTCGAGAGATTCTACAAAAATGTTTGTCGATTCTTATCTTATTTAACCAAATCCTTGAACTTTTCGAAAGTATTTAATTGCTTTCGATGAAAATCACCTTTGTTGGAGATGTCACCACTCGTCATCGCGTTGCAACGCGATGATAAAGATAGACGATAAAATCAAGTGTTATTTTTATTCGATTTATCGCGTTCCTACGATCGAAACTGTTTTTCCCAATAAACTACGGTATACTACGCGAATACGAATATTAATTTCGCGTTCGCGTAATCTGAACTTATATAATCGTCTACGAGCGATAACGCGAACCTACCGCGTGCTGCTCTTTGATTACAGACATTTGTTGAACCTAACTAACTAACGTGATCATATGATCCTTCGCTATAAATGGTACGCGGAAAAAAAAAAAAATTGATATACATATATACGAATTCGCAGTTTCAGAATAACTTTATATAGAAACTGTTGCGTCTTATCGAGAGTTTCGTGTACACATGTGATAGGTAATTTTTGAAACAAAATGAAAAGAAAAATATTATTCTAAAGAAAAATATACATCTCCTCCATAAATGTCTAAGAAACATTTGGTATTTGGTTACTTCGATAACGTGCACGTGATCCCAAGTTCTTTTCACGATTCTAGGTTACGAATGTTAATGAAGGTAATAAAAAAAAGTATAGAATAGAACGTTGAAATCGTAAATGGAAATTGTTTTCGAATATTATAGGTCAACTAGAGAAAATGGTGACTGGGGGCGGTTTCGATTGATGAATGCTAATAAAATAAAACGAACGAATCCGGAAACCAGAATTCTGATTCAACCATTCGTTTCTTTTTTCCACTTCTTTTTTTTTCTTTTTTTCTTTTTTTTTTTACCATTTCCTATCTAGTCGTATCCATTTTTACGACGTTTTTATATATCCTTGACACGTGGCTTCGGATGCCATACATACACAATCCCAAATCTACAATTTATACGAAACCTAACGACATCTATCTAATCCCAAAAAATAAAAATAAAAATATAATACCGCTAATATTATCAAATTAAATCGATCACAATCGAGATGTAATTTCAAACCGATCGAAAATACCTGTGTTAAAATGTGTTGAAGCAACAGTTTCAAGGTTCAACAAATAACGTGCGGCAACGTTCCCAAGCAGTTCGTTGACTGCGAGGTTAACGAGGATGTGAATGATAAAAAAAAAAAAGAGAAAAAAAAAATTCGATAATCATTATGCAATAGCTTAATAACTCGTCGATGGCTGCACCCTATTCGCCGGTTACGCCTTTGCCAGTGGAACGGGACGTCCGTAACATGTAACATATAATACGAGACACGCACGACGTGCACGTGCGTGAGCTGACCTCGCTCTGGCCACGTACCTCCCGCATGGCTCTCCAGCGATTCGCGTGCTGTAGCGCCTAACGAGAGACCTTCGAGTGTACGAGAGAGAAAGAGAGAGCGAGCCAATGAGCGAGCGAGCGAGCGAGAGAGAGAGAGATGTGGAAACCGCGTGTGTCGCGCACACGCAAGAATCGTCGTGCGCCTCTTCTCCCGAGAGCAAACGTAGAAAACTATCTTTCCCCCACTACCATACCGCCACATACTAGTTCTCATACATTCTCGTTCGTTCTCATCGTCCCAAGTAATAAATGCTATTCTCGATTACCTTTCTCCCGTCCGATCCGCTCGTTCGACGCCTTCGAATGATTCACATGCTGCGGCTACGCTTCTTTTTTTCCATCGTGTTCATCGTTCCTTTGCCCTCTCCCTTCTTTCTCCCACCACCAATAGTAATTGAATTATTATTCGTATATGAGGGGAAACTGTTGCGCGCTGTTGCACACGAAATATATTACATCTGGGGTTTCTGGGTTTCTAGGGAATGGTCCAACTCGTAAACTGAATGCTCATTCGTCTATGATTCCGTTCGATCGTAGTACGTTCTTTTTCTTTTACGAGGGATATAAATTTTTTTTAATAGATTGTACTCCTCTAGGAAAGTAATAGAGGAATCTATTATTAATATTTATGAAATTCCGAATGAAGAGAAGTGTTGAAACGTCGGTGGCAAAGGTTTCACGATTTTCGTTAAAATTGAATTCACGGATATAATTTTACCTAGTTATATTATAGGTAATTTGAAGCGAGCTAGAATCATGCACTCGCATAGTCCCGGTAATTTAGAACTGGCAATGTTCTCTCGTGGAATAGTGCTGTGAGCGCAATGGGGAAAGTGTATCGTGTACACGTGTCTGTGTATAAATATATAGGCTCTGACAATAGAAAAATCTATTTTCACCGGTGTTTGCTAGCTGCTTTGCTTCTTTTTTTCTCTCTTTTTTTTTTTTTTCTTGGAGAGAAAAAGTCGCGGTTCGTGATTGCCGCGAAGCAAAGTTCAAGTTTCACCTTCTTTCTACCATGTTATTCCAGCCACTCTTACTTTAGTTGCAGCCATTATTTTGGAGCGGCAATGCGATTATCGATCCGTAACTTTTTAACTGATTTGCATATAGAAACGAGCAAAACTCGCTTTGTACGGATAAATTTTTAAAAAAACATTAGAAAGATAATCGATAATCGATAAATTTGACGAAAAGAAAAAAAAAAAAAAAGAAAGGAAGGAAGAAGAAAGGAAAAAAGGAATCGCAAGAGTGTCTTTTGCGAGTGTGTTTCGTCTTCGACTTTTGACCAACGAATAGATTACATTATGCTCGCGCAATATTTCGCAATCGCAAAATCGAGAAATCAGGCATCGACTAGTTACTTACAACGAGACTGCATCAAGGTTTGCGTTTTCACGAGGGGAAAACGATCGTTAATGATCCCCAACCGTGTAGAACTACCGGCCTATGAATTGATTAAAACGGTACGGCCCTGGGATAACAATTTCTTCATTTAATTTATCATGCTTTTCGATAGTTTCTTTATCAATATTTTGACAAGTAAATGCAAGAAAGTTTATCCTATCTGTGTAATTTTCGATTTAAATTTCTGTCATTTCTATGTTTTTTCTCGATAGGCGAGATAACCCGTGTGTACTCCGTACACACAAAAAGATATTAATTATATATAATGTAATCAGTTTTTCATAATTCATAAATCAATTATCTTCTAATCTGATGAATCCATTTATCAAATATTCTTTTCTAAACGTGACAATATTCAATCGGAGCGATAACATTCGCAGATTAATTCGAAATGTTTCCATGTGCGAAACAATAAAACAAGAGTAACGTCTTTCTAATATGTGCGATTTCTTTCTAATATGATATGATTTCTTTATTGACTTGCATATAGGAGCATGAGTTGTACGAAATGCATGGCATATGACTAATCGAGAAAATCATTATCCCTTGTCATCGTATAGCAATATTGTATATTCAGTAACAATGCCCGTGTGCAGAAAAGATGAAATGAAATTTTCTCCCTTGCGCGAAACATAGAACAGATACGATAATATATTTTCATGTTCTCGCGTAGTACTATTATGAAGAAACAATCCATTTATCGCACGATTGTACACAACGGCACCTCGAAGCTATTTCACAGATATTTTTGTATCTCTCCGTTTCCTACTCTCCTTCACGAGTCCTTTAATTCTCGATACGAGCGAACGAACAATATATATCTATAACTTTATCGTATGCCACGTGTCGGCACACTTATACAGCCCGCACACATGCCAAGATCGCCTCTACTACATCGGTCTTAAAGCAAGTTAATGTCGATAATAGAGTCACGACGTAGTAAGTTCCTGGCCATACATTGACACCGTGCCGCTGACGGGCAAACCGCGACAGAATTAAAATTCACCGAGATGCCACGGCACTTGCTATAACTGTGTTGCGATTTCATCGTGTCGTGTATCGATTTGGAATTACGCGTGAAACAATGCTTGGCGAAACAAGCGGGAGAACGATTCGCGTTTATGGCTCTCATGGCCTCGGGCGAAAGGTGAACGATTCCCCGTCAAGGTAAATATTATTATGCCATTTTCTAGCGGGGTATCGTTCGACTTTGTATTACCATCCGATGGCGTAGTTATATGATTATTTATTACATTATACAGCGAGGCTTGAATTATGTATATACACTATTTCCTAGAGTAAGCTTGATAATTAACTAAATAAATGATGCATTGCGCTAGAGGTATTTACGAACTACGCAATATTTGATAGCTTACAAATGGTAATAGTTATTTCTGGTTGTTGGATGTTATTTTAGAGGAAATTTATCATTTTTTTTTTGTTTCGAAAATCAAGGCACGTATTCATGAAACGTTTACACATTTGTAGAGTAATGAAACCTCAATTTCTCAACAATCCCCTGCCTGTGATAGCGTTACGGAATATAAACAAACAGGACGCGTATAGTTACAACCCCACGATGCCAGTACAAAATTTGCATCGTTCTCCCCTTTCACAGTCGACTTAACGTAAAGAATCTCCACACGGAAGCGATAATGGCGGCGGACCATTTATAGCTATGCGCATGCGCGTTAAAATTATCTCGGTCGATGACAGCGCTATCATCTTTACATATTCTTTCGAAACTATTATTTATATGAATACAATTTTCTAACTTAAATTTATGAGAAAATAGAACGATGTAAATGTAATTAATTGTTATAAAACTTACTGATATTTGAAAAGAAATTTATTAATATAATATCAGTTGTAATAGATAACATATATATATATATATATATATCATCGTAATTTATCATCGATTCGTATTTCATTTTTTAAAAATCATTAAAAGAAAATTATTCATCGTTCGTTTAATACTATTATGAAGGATTAACTTACTTAAAATGGAGTATATTTCAATCGAGGAGGTATAACAGTGGTTTCCATTTCATCAACGACCAATTGCTGCGCATGACACGGTTCAAACGACATGGATACCCAAGGAATAGGAAGTTTCAACATTCATTCATGATACACACAATACACTATACCTGTTATCGAATTTCGTCACAAAATACTCACGCACTCCATAATAACGTAAAAGGGAATGGAAAAGGGATGAAAATAAAACGTTCAACATAAAATTTTTATAATATAACTACGCACATGTTCAAACTACTACTGCACGCATCGCACACGCCATCTTTGCACTGTTGAGATGGCGCGTCGATCGCGAACGAACAGCTGAGAGGCGAGTGGAATATCTGCGTAAGCTAAGCACACAGAGAGCAGACGTTCTGTCCTCCGTGCTCGACCAGGCCTGGACTCGGCAGTAAACAGCTGGCGACGCGATGCGTCAGAGCAAAATGTCGAACGGGACTGCGCCAAGCTAGTTGCCCCCCTACCTTCTCTCTTTGGCACGGTGCAAGAGCTTTATAAAAGTGGACATTCTCGGGCAAGCGTTCGGCGCATTCGCGGTGAAAATACGGCAGCAACGCGAAGCACACAAGTGTCAGTAACAATATCTGAACGGAAGATACAACAAATAAAGGCATAAACGAGAAAATCCGTAGCGAAAGTGGAGTTTCTTTGTTTCGTGCTTCGATCTCTGCGCATACGTTCCCGTGCGAGTGGCGCAGCATTGTTTGTGTGGTCGGTACGTCATTCTCAGCGTATACACGGTTCGTCACGATATAAAACAAGATCCTGGCGTCCTGTGTGATATCGCGTCGGGTTTTTTCATCTATGAACAAGCATAGAATACTGTCGTTCGTGTCGTTCTCCGTCCGAATCTAGACAACGTAACAGAGATTTAGAGAAAAGATTGTTAGCCTTTCGTGTACGCGCGAGTGCTTTGTTTTGACGAGCAGCTGATCCGGGACTACTCGTTTATCGCGTCGACCAGTCCTCCATCGCTGCAACGGTGATTCTATTCCAACGATTTTATTCGTGTTCGATATTCGTTTGCGTACACAAAATTATTGTACGGTGACTGCCTCGTAAACTGTGTTTAAAGAGATCGTCGAGCCGTAGCAAGAGTGCTTCGTTACATCACAAAATCCGGAGGACGCGATCGACCGATACTTAGAGGAGCAACAGTACACAACCTATACAAAACAATTTTCTTCGATGACAGGCGGACCAACAACACAAACAAGAATTGTTATTACGTGATATTTTATGGTGAAGTGATCGACTGTACGAGACTTTTCGAAGTGTATCAATTAATCTTTTTCCCGTTTTCAAGGGATTCTACGTTCCCATTCGTTCTCATTCCCGACTTATCTGGTCGGAACGAAAATCACTCAGAGCCGTCCTGTAAATAACGATCGTAGATTCAAACGGACAGTTATATCTCGGTCTACCTGTCATTTACCTATCCGATCGTCCGGATCTTTTTTAAGAGATATTGTAACAATAGCTTCCCTCCCAAAGGCTGTGGGATTTCTTAGTTACCGATGATCTCGTGATATATCGCTTTTTCTTTTCGCTTCTACTATTACACCTACCATTATTCTTTCGTGAAGTATTTCAACGAATCTCCAAAGGAGTGCTCGAAGGCAGCCAGATCTAACGACACCATCGCTGCTTTCCTTCGAACCAATTTATACATATACACGTTATATATATATATATATATACACATTACATATACACACACATTATATATATATATATATACACGTATCGTATTGAATTTCTCGAGCTTTTTCGCTGTTGCTCATCTTTTCGTCGGTTTACGCGCGCGACTCTATCCAGCTTCCAACATCGATACCTGTCGATCACGACGGAAGATAATAACGAGGAAACAACGTACGTACGAAACACTCGACAACGAGACGCGGTGCAAAGCTGGTCGAACGCTAGCTCGAGTTTGCGTGAATCGACGACGACGACGAACGGATTGGTGATCGATGCGGCATAAACCCGAGGGGGCCGTACTCGCGAGCGCTGTGAAACGAGGGGTACGGCCCCGATCGAGCTGACTACAGGAGTCGGCCTGAGGTGTCAGCTCCTCTTCGTCGGGCGTCGCGAATACCGGACGCCAAGAACCACCGAATGCCAGTGGAGTCTTTTGGGCGGGCTGGCCGTTTCACTCTTGTCGTCGGACTAGAAGAAGCTTGACCGGCCCGAAAATGCTGTATATATTCCACGTGGACACCGGCACTACCATCACCTTCGACATTAAATTGGCGCTGCAGACGTGAGTATCGCTTCACTGCTGCTTCCGTTTGTTTACTACTCCTGTTGCTATTTACGCTCGTAATAGGTTAGGATCTTGCGTCATGCGTATTTCGTTGATTTGCTTTTACTTTGTTTATTTTCGAGTTGCGTTAGCTAATCATCGATAAATTCATAATCGTATTATGCACAAAAATATTTGAAAATTTGCAATTTTCTATTTGAAAAACTAGTAACTTTTTGATTCTTAGGAATTTATAAATATGGAAAATATTATTTATCCACTTCTTAAATATTAAATGTATCTATTTACTTTTTTATTCGGTCGTTATTAGACAAGGGTAAGAATATTTTATTTTTCCGTCTACTCGTATTTTTCTCGCTTAACGAACGCAAAACAGATAATTGCCTGGTGTCGGGCAAATTCGTTTTTCGTTTCGAAAGAATGGACGGCACCTCTCGAGTCGTTGATTGTTCGTCGTCGAACAAAAAAAGAACGAACCATTAAGCTTAACCTTATAAATCCTCGAGTAACAAGTAACAAGTAACGTTGTACATTTTCATCATCATATTATTTGCTCTCCCCTTAATAATTAAGAACTGATGTTCTCATTTAGTTGTCAATTAATTAATCCATGATTCGATTATTTAAGAAAGGATTAACCGGACAATTTTTAAAGGAGCAACTCTATTAACGATATTTATTTCAAAAACCTCGCAATTGAGATACACTTATCCGACCATACAGTGTACTATTTGCTTGCGAATAAAAATTCTAACAGGCACGTTCGATATTATTGCCAGATTAAACTCCCTCGTTAAACTCTCGCCGATGGTTATCGGACCGAGCTCGCTTTGAATGCTGCCCGGTTGCGGAAACTCATTTCTTCGAGCGCAAAAGTCCCCTGTATATACACACATCCTCTCGTAGCCGGTTCACATGAGTCGTTTTTGCAATAAACAGATCCGCTTCCTCGACCACCTCTTATAATCGAATGAATACGCGCGTTAATACGTGCGTCGAGAAGTCGTCTTCTCGCCTCTGCGTGTTTTGTCGAACCTTCCCTCCCCCCTCCCTCCTTCTCTTACCCCTCTTTCTCTTTCCGTTCTCGTGCGTCTCGATTTTTTCACGAGAGAAAACCAGGTGGCGAGAAAACCTATAATAATAATGGAATTCGTGCATTCGTTTTCAATACGTAAATATTTTACTTTGACCCGTGCAGCGCGGCAAACAATCCACTCATTAACTAATAAAGCACTTTTAGCACAATTCTATGAATATTTCTCAGTTACTGCACTCAGATGAGTGATTTAATGTCGTTGTTATTTCGCAGCAAGTTTAACGCTGTTTATTATTCCAAACTATACAATACACTCAACCGTGAAATCCCGTTATTGGAAACACCGTATAGAACTCGAGGCGATCTGTTAGGCAACGATATCATCCCTATCGAATAATTTCACCGATTCTCCCCGATTCTATCCTTTCTCGTCTTTTCCCCAAAGAATTCATTCATTGGAACAAACGATTAATCCTAAATAAATCGAGAAGAATATACCGAATTTAATTCGAAAAGAATTAAATGTTATTTGTCGGGACAAATGCAAGCAATGAAATCGATATCGTTCACCTTCATAACCCAACAACATGTTCGATTTAGCAACTCCCTGGAGCGCGAGAATCGCGAACAACGAAGTGTCAAGGATCTCTCGAAGGTGAGCGAATTGCAAAACTGTTCTGTCTATCGCGGACGAACGTGGGCACAAACAGAGTGCCTCTTCGTTCGAGAAGAAGAGAGAGAGAGATGTGCGTGTGCAACAAACAAGCGCAGGTTGCTACGAAAATAGTAATGAAATCTGTGTGTCGTACGTGGGCGACCATTGGCTCGTGCCGCACACGAGTTTGACCCACAGTTTAAATCGGCCAAGTCCTTTAAACTGCATCCCTCGAAACGAATCGAGTTTCAACTTTTTAACTCCATTTCTGCCATCTCGTGCGCATTATCGCAGTATTCCATTCGAGATTCCGTTGAATATTTGACGTGCAGTTCGGTTCAAGGAGTAAGTTTCTTTTCACTTTTGCAAGTAATATTTCCCCCTCGCCCCGAGATTCTTTGTCCCTGAAATAGAATAGAGAATAAGAAGAGATCTCGATGAGAGTGTAATTTCGACGTGTATTCCAAAATTAAGAATCTCGTGGTAGATTCATTGGAACGATCGTAATTTTTCTAAAACCGTACAAATTAATCCGTCCCAGTTCGTTCGTCCGATCCAAAGAGCTACCAAAGAGTTCCACCGCGCGTGTTCACGAAGGCCAATGAACACGTTTTCTTTAACGACGGTTAATGAGATTAAGAAGACAACAGAAACCGTGTGTGTATATATTCATTACGTCTCTTTTACGAGCGTTCCTTGCCCTCGAATTTCGTTTGAAACAACGAAAGAGCGATTTAACCTCGTCGCATCGATCCTCAGCACAGGGATGCTATAATGCGCTTCGTTTTTAGCTGCAATATCGTTTCTATATTTTATTACTCAGTTTCCCGCCACAAACCGAACGTGCGCGAAAGATTGTCGATAAACGTTGTTGTGCAGTTGGCCCGCAAAGAGAGCCTCGCCCTTTTCGATAAGAAAATAGGATATCGATAGGCCTGTTCACCTTCTTCTCTCTTTAAATAAGAGTTCCTCGCACGATTGTCCGTGTGAGAAATTACTTGTATAAGTCCAGCAGAGTGGAGGAAGGAAATCGTACGAATTTTTCCAAAAAGTTCAGATCATGGAAAACGTATATAAATTATTTGGCGAGCATTCTGAGAAAATGCTTGGAGAATCTCGATGTTTCGAGCGTATCCAAAAATTCGATTTCCCTCTCAGCGAATGGACGCCGTGACTCACGCTGTAGCCAAACACAGGGAGGGGGGGCGAGAAGTTTTCCCCTTTTCTAGTCACAGTTCGAAGAAGCTGGGTCGGGTCGAATCGATGAAAAAAATTTCATCGAAACCTCGAACTGAATAGAACAAGTTGAGGCGTGTATAGGCGGCGTCGATCGTTTCCTTCGTACAAACCCGTTCGTGGGAACGTTAACGAGTAGAAACTTTCGTTTCGACTCCAACATTGCTCCCTGGAACGGTAACGGTGTTAACGGTACGAACGAAGCTGACCGGCGGGAAAAGTCGGTGGCGGAACGAGGCTAACGTGAATTAGGGAAATAAAAAGAGCCGTGCCTATCGCCGGCCAAGAGCGGCAAGTTTTGTTTTGCAATTGTGTACAACGTCCATTATTCCGATTAAACTCCGCGTTACGCTTCGCCGGACGGATCCTGCGCTTTTCTCCTTCCGCAGATCTCTTTTCCAACCGATTCTTGGAAAACGTTACCCATGCACTTTTAATAATTTTTCTCATAGTAATGCCAATTGGAGGATTTTTGAAATTGATTGGATTCTATTAATATTAGGATCCGTTGTTATTACTTTATTAATTTATTATATATCCAGGAACAGGATGAATTGTTGTTGAATCCTCCATTATCAGCTTATTTAAGTGGATTTTGCAATTTTCTTCATTACGTATATCAGGAATTTCATTAATTATAGGTTCGTTAAATTTATCAATAATGAACAATTTTTCTTTAAAGCTGTTTTATTAATTATATCTTTACCAATTGTTGCTGGAGCAATTATCATCTTGCACACGGTTGATCTATATAAGAATTTGGAAAATTCTCGAATACAATTCGCTGAGAACCCATTGTGGACGTTGTTCCTTCTGCCTCGGACCGTTTGCCTTCAAGCCAGGGTAAATAACGTGGAAATTAACCATCGTGATTCAGGCAGAACTGTCTGGACCCTTCGTCAACCAACGCTCATCCCGTGGTTCCCTTTTCACCCACTTCCGCAACTCCCTTTGCGTTCCCCAAACCTCTCGAACCTCCTTTCTTCTTTTCCCCCATTCGCAATTAGCGCGCTGGCACACACACACACACACACGCATATACACTCTCGATATCGTCGCACGGTTTGGCGCGCAAACTCGGTTGAACTCGGGCTCTGACGCGCACAGACGCCAACATGTTGGAAGGTACGGAAAACACGAGACACCTTCGATATTTGTGGTTTAAGATAGCGCGGCCATCGACCTTGTTCTTCGGAGAGATAATTAACGATGTGTGTCGATCCACTGTGGCGTGATCTTTATTCTCGCGCTCGTAATTACGCGAGGTGTACGCGAAAAGAATAAATTTCCGAGTGTTGTAAAGCGCGTGGATTTTAACTGGTCTGTGTGTTAGAAAGAAAAATTCTTTGGCCAGTGTTAAAATCGATCGATTTTATTTTCTCCTGGTGATTTGATAAATAGTATATAGTAAATTGTCTCGAAAATCGTGTGTAGATAAGAGTTAAAAAAGGAAGAAAGGAAGAACCACGATTGGGGGGAATTTATAAACGAATTTAAATATCCTGTTTATTCGTCGACCGTGTATAATCGAGTCTCTTTATTTAATTAGTTTCATTTGCGGTCAGATATTTATCGTTTAATTTTCGTGTCCGTTTCAAGCTCCATTTGCGGTTTATTTTATTCTTTGCAATCGAGGGACGATTATCACCGCACTATATATATATATATAATCTGGCTCGGGTATTTAATTTTTAGATTCGGATCTTTTTCGTTGGATGGATCGACTCGATAGATGATTCTCGTGAAAAAGAAAAAAAGAAGGCGGGTTAAAAGTGCGCGTCGTTACGAAGAGTAAAAATTGATTTCATGTTCTTCTCGCACGCGTATTTGTTCGAAGGAAGCGTGACAGGAATCTGTTCGAGAATTATGAAATTCGACGTAACCGGTATACAAACGTTTCTCCACCGCTTTTATCCACCGCGGTGGTGCGTTTTATCTCGTTTCGAATCGCCGTCGTAGCGAATTTTATTCCTCTTCTCTCCCCCCTCCTCCACCGCGAGACGTTCCCTCGCGCCATAAATATTGCGCGTAAAAGGAATTGGAACTCGAGTCTTTGTCAACACCCTTGCCAAGGTTAAATAACGGATAAGGAGCGGTGTTTTGTCCAAAGCGAGGAATACGATGCGCGTTGCGCGTGTTAATTGCGAAAGGACGCGCAGCTTGAGAGGAGGAGGGGTATTTAACTCGAGCCACTCGAGTTGGAATATATTTACTCGCGAATTCGACGTACGCCTGGCTAGGCGACGTTCGCGATCGGGAAGAAAATACACGCTCGTCACTTGTAATTGCTTATTCTATACGCGACGAATAAACGGAATAATATGGTAATTGTGTGTATATATATATATCGCAACGTGTAGAGAAATAACAGTAGTTTTTTTTTTAGATAAAAGGAAGAGTCGTTTATTTGAAAAAAATAATGACGATCGTGGGAGAGATCAAGTAACGAGGGTTGGCTATTAACGATAATCCGATAAGCGCAATTTTTAAATTACGCGAATCTTTTCTTCTTCTTCTTCTTCTTCTTCTTCTTCTTCCACGTTTGTAAACCTTGTTTAACATTTTATCGTTCGCCTTTATGAATATCGCCTTGACATAATTGCCGCCCCGATCGTAGCTTGCACTTTTATCCTTCTTGGACCAATCGAATTACACTCGGGCGCTTTTCGTCACAAATCGATCCTCTTCGTTATTGTTTATCTTGGAATAGAAACGGATATAGACAGAGAGTGGTTATATTCGAGATCGAAAGTAGTCGCTCGGTCTTTCTTTCTTTTATCCTGCTCATCTCCTCGAAGAGAATTACGGAAACGCATCATCCGGCAATTGCCAGCTCTCTTCTCGCCTCGGTAAAAACCAGGTCGCGTAAAGTTGTTCCCGGTGTTCAACTGTTTCCCGCAACGTTTTTCTCGTGCTAGATACCCGTTCGGCTACGCAGAAGTCTTCCAAGTTTCCCCAATTACCCGGACTTTTTGTTCCCTCCTCTAACAGCCTCTAACGCCTCTCTGATAATCTTGACCTTAATCACGGCATCGACGACGTTGAAGCTGTACGATCGCCCCCCGATTTATCGTACAATTTATCGCGTTCGGATAATTATCAAAAATTATTAAACACGGAGATCCATTCGAGGCATTGTCTTGGAGGAATTTGAATTTCTTGGCGGGTGCTCGAATCGCTTTGAAAATTCGTCACGTCAGAATCTTCGAATTTCGAAAGTTGTGTGAATATTTTGATATTCCTTTCGTCACTTTTGATTTCTCGAATCAGATGGATGGCACCGCTTGGAATTTTATAACACGGCGAATCAAATCGAATGGAGGTCGGTCGAACGAATTTGAACACTTTGAAAATTCGGAATCTTTGAATTCTTTTTTCTTCTTTTTTGCTCCACCACCAATTATTAACACGATTTCTTTCTTTCTGCGCAGTGTCGCCCAACTGAAGGAAGCGATCGAGAGAGAATGCGGCGTGGTCTCGGCGCACCAGGTGCTCCTGATGAGCGGAGGCGAGAGCCTGGAACCAACCGCGCGTGTGTGCTCCTACTCGGCCGGAACCGACACGAATCCGATCTATTTGTTCAGCAAGGCCGCCATTGAGAGCCACCTTCCACCCACGCCGAGCATAGATTACGGTTCCGGTGAGTGACGAGCTTCTTCACCTGTGAATTTTCCTTAACCCCACTCTCCCTCCCCTCTTCTCTCATTTCCTGCCTGTAACACTCGTCCACAGACTTGACTCTTACCTACGATTCTTGAAACGAGGATTCAATCCTGGATTGAATCGCGAAAATTTAGAATTTGAAATTGCAAGAAAAAATCGAGTCGAGGGAAGAGATTTTATTATCGTACATAGATCTTTTCTCATCGCTCGTGCTACGATTATTTTTTATCGTTTCGAATTCGAGACCGGTTTCCCTTCGAAATTCGTGCGAGAAAAGTAAGGATAAGGTTTCGTTGATCGTGGCGGCTAATAACGATCCTTATCGTCGATAACGCGGGGAGAAAGGAGGCAGATGATATCAGCGGGAAGATAAGTCTTTGCGAAACAATGGACGCGACTTACTACGTTCTTCCTTCGATCGAAATGTATTTGGCCGCATTCGAACAAACACGGTATTTCGATCGAGTCTCGTTACGATCATGGCGATAGTGGCGACGATACGCGGTGGACTCGAACGTTGAATATTGGCCGAGGCTAGCTCGTTGCCAATGAATGCCAATGTTTAACCATTCTTTATTATAACGCATTTCGTTGGGACGGTATCGACGGTCAACGATCGAGGAAAGTGGATGGACGAGGGATTTAACGATTCGTCGATCGTATTAAGCACGTTAAGATTTTTCCTTATTGCTTTTAATATTCGTTCGACAGGGTTTAAGTAAACCTTCTTCCCATGTTTAGAGAAGGCAGTTTGTCAACTTTTGTCGACAGATTTATCGTCTTCGTTTCGAAAGCCTCTCTCTCCGCCAGAAATCGAGCCGCGTTAAAAATAGAACGTTTCCTCCCGAAGAAACCAATTTCTCTGGTCGTTCTTCTGTTTATCGCATTCGAGCGAAGATTAAAATTAGCTATCTCGCTCCGTCTTGTTTTTCTCCACTTTAGGGACCACTTCTCGACGCGAGTATTAACCGTATTCCACGATCCCCAATGCTTCAATAACCTTTTCCTGATGATCGAAATGCAATAAAGAAAACGTGGTGTGTACGTAAGATTTTCAAGAGTTCTACGATCTTTGATATCGTTGCGAAGAGTGTGCGAATTGCGCTCCGACAGGTGTTGTTTCCATTCTCGCAAGGTGATTGCATTAGGAAAATCGAACGTCTCCTGAATTTAACACTTGGACAGCGTTTTTCGACAACGTTTCTTCGCGATGTAGCGCACGGTTATTAAGATTTTCCAAGAATCGTTCACGCTTTGAATTTCAACGAGCTTTAAACGTCCTTCCAGTATCGTTAAGAGTCTGCGAATTGCGCTCCATCAGGACAGTGACATCTTTCACGGATCCGCTAAAAATCTATAGAAATCTCGCTAACGACGTTGTTATTTTTCTTTCTTCCTTTTCACGATCCTCTTTATTCTCGGAGTGGCGACGAGCGGAATAAATAAAATACCGGTTATATTATATTCGAAAATACAAAAGGCGATAATACGCGCGAGCGGAAAGTTAACGCTTCGTTCATTAACACGTTCGTCCTTTTCGTTCTCCGTAAAATCGATTTCTTCCCCGTCTAAGGTTCTTTCCTATTCTATCCTCGCCCGTCTTATCGCGCGATTCCACCTCGGATTTCACGCGGCAATCCACGTTCCACGACGTGACGCAACCGCAGACCGACCGACTCTTCTCGGTGTCGCGATGCGCCTCGCGTTCCACCGGTCCCTGAAATAACGATCAAGTTCGCTCTTGTCGCTCCTTACTTTCGATTTTCGCGCGAAATCTTCCATTCGTTCTCGCAATTCCGTCTCTCTCGTGATATTTTTCAATTCCAAATATTCCATTTCTCTTCTAATGATAACTGATTCGGCTATTCTTCCTTGCAATTTGATCCTCGTGTCAGAATTCTCCACGAAATATTTTTGGCAATTTATAATACGGTAGTTGAATGATTGTTCGAACTTGTGCACATTGATTAATTCGTCATCCTTCCATTTACCTTTCCACCTCGCACGATTTTCTTTCTCTACAACGTACAAGAGAGACGGAAGAGAGAAGGTTGACAACAAATTAATCGAAACCGTTACACTTCCCTCGAGCGGCGTGCGCGTTACACAACGATCTTTTATTGCCTGAATTAAAAGGGTCGGCGATCAGGAAAAACGGAAGGTTTCCATCTTTCGACCTGCTTGCTTACATAAAACTCCAACGATATAACATTCGCCATATAACCACCGCCGAACTCGTACTCTCTCCCTCTTCTCTCTTTTATCGCCAATCGTGCGGTTAAACAGCCCCCTTCCTCGCCGCAAATTTAGAATTTCTTTTCCCTTGCTTCGAGCGAAAAAAAAAAACTCGAGGCAACCGACTCGTAGACGCAACAAGACTTTGACCCGCGTCAAACGCAACGCCAACTTTGACCCGATTCTTTTATCCGGACGGATAACGATCTCGTTTCTTCGAGAACGTCGCCACGAAGTCGAAACTGGGTCGACGCATCGTTTTCTTCTCGGCAAAATTGGTTAATCGCCGGCACGCGGCCCCACGAACGAGAGAGAGAGAGAGAGAGAGAGGAGGAGAGGA